CCTGTCTTTTTCCTCCAAAAGCAGTTGGGAAGGAACTCTCTTCATAATCTAGTTTATCTCTTGAGGAGAAAAAAAATCAAATTAACATAATTTGAAGAGCTTTTCCTTCTCTTCTGCATTTTTTATTTCTTGCTGCAAAATGAAAGCAAAATGGCTGCAATCAGAGTAACAGTTTCACCATTATTTTCAAGATAAGGACTGTGCTGTGCACTCTGCCGAAGCAGAAAAATAATGGATGGACGGGTGGGCAGACAGATGGATGGAAGGCTGGACACACAGACAGAAAACAAGATAAACACATTTTCATTCCATATATGAAATTTATCACATTTATCTATAAGCATCCTTGTTTCTATTTATTGTTTTACTCATCAAATACTGGTTTGGTTGATTTTGATCTTTTCCCTTTTGACTGTTAAAGAGGACAATGGGAATTCTTTTTTAAAAAATAAAAGGGAATTATTTTTTAAAATGTAGGTTTATTTCAACCAAATTCCCTCTCAATACCCTGAAAATGGGTCAGCTTTCCATGTCAAAAAAAAGCATTTCCTCTCCTATGTTCGGGCTTTTGTTTTGTTTTGCTTTAAATGTAAGAAAACAAAAGTATGATCACTGTTAAACCAGTTTTTACTTCTACAAAATGTCTATTGCTTCCTCTGCAACAAACAAGTTTCACCAGTGCTGGCTGGAGCATGCTAGGAGTTGTAGGCCTTCTGTCTAAATGTGCACAGAATTATACCCTTAAAAATGATTACATAAAACCACTTAACATTTCCTACTCCACTCCCTCCAATTCCTGCCAATATACGTACTAAAAACAGTCTTGAACTGGGAAATTACCAAAGATTAAACCATTTAAAAATAACTCTGTGGCAACAACATAAAGTGATCTTTAAAAAAAAAAAAAAAGGAAAGTGAAGAATTCATCTCTATTTAGCAAGATTCTACTGTCTAGTTGCTGCCCATGTTCTGCTTCTTTTGTCAGTCTCCAGTAGTGTGTCCTTTAGCTATAAATGAAAACAACAGATCCCCCACCAAGACACATCTGCTGTGAGTCCATATTACAACAGGGGGGGGAAAATGACACCTTCAGCTACATAAACCAATAAAGATTGTCTGATATAGTTTGCTCCTGTTGCTACCAGCCATGCAACCCACTGAGTTAACGACTGGTGACATCTGCTAAAGAATGTCAAGGGTGAGGTGAACATAAAAAGGTAATGAATCATAGTGTGTCATGGATATAGCTACGAATTCTAAGGAAAGAGCCCCTTCTGAACTACTAGTTAGTCGCACTCACACGGCACCTGCAAGAGTGAAACCATTATTGCTTATTCTCCCCAAATCCCTGAACCTGAGCTGATCTATGGATATAGCAACTGTGCAAAAAGAATATTTGATTGTCACGCATTTGAAAAGTTAGAAAAACATTGACTCTGTCCCATTATGCATCCTGCACCTTGTAATACTGTCTGTAATGAAATAGCCACACAATTTTTACTAAAAGAACACAAGGACCTAGGATAACTAGGCTGGTCTTCCCATTGGAAAATTATTTTCAGGTGCAAAGCAGTTGCCTTGAATATGCAACGATAGCCATTTTTTTTCAATTTGAGTATTTAATTATATTTTTAGATTCTACCTTTTTACAAAAAAATTTAGGAAAATCTAACAAGAGAAATTACAGACTTAGTAGAATGTCCTCTACACAAAAGAAAAACTTTAGCACATTCATTTTTATCTGCTGTGTTTTCTTTTTAGCAGTTTGCTAAGTAAAACCCTTCCTGTGATGATTAACCCAAAAGCAACTGTCTCTAAAAATGCAAATAATACCAAAAAAGCCAGAAGTTTTTAAAATGATGTAAAATGTGGATGTTCTGAACATTATGGAATACAGGATTATTTGCAATTAAAATGAGTTTTGCTGTTCTCTTAATTATTTTTGTATAAATCTCTTGTATTAGCAAGTGTGTAACAGTAATAATACTAAGGTTCTGGTGTTCCTTTACACTGATCCAGAACTGGGGTGGTGTCTTTAACTCTTCCTGCTGACAGAATAGCTTCCTTGTGCCTCTCCCCCCCTCCTATGCTGTAGCCCCCAAGCCCTGAACATGTACTCTGGATTACTGGAGTGGTACCTGGAGCAGATTTTGGGATACACAGGGAGGAAATATGGGAAAAGTCATTTTGCAGAAACAAAAGTCCAGTCATTAAACATTGGATTTTCTACATTAAATTTCACACAACAGTGTGGGGAAAACACGCTACATTGCAGATGAAATGTTGCAAGGCGGGAGTGGGCAGAATGCAAATCAGCACTTAATGGTTGATCTTCGTGCGATTTGTTGCAGATCAGTAAAGGTTTCTTGACACTCAATGGTTTAGCAAAAAAAGAATCACAAAGCTCTCACCTCCTAAAATTGGGTTACTTAAAGACAGGAGAAAGAAATAGGGACAGATTTGGGTGCAAAAGCATCTGTGTGAAAGCTCCATTTCTGGCACTAAAAACAAATTCCTGGGTTGAGCACGTTCTCAAAGAACCTGCTTCCTCAGTTATGTGTTTACCTTCCTGAGTTACTATGTGCCTTCAGTTGGTGGAATTCAGGGTTCTAGTGCTGCCTGAATAAGAGCAACAACTCCTTGCTCAGCTTTCAGCAGCCAGCACTGGAAAGCCTTAAGGAAGGAAAGTCCTGCTTAAGACCTCCAGGGGGCTTTTTGAGAAGCTCCAGCAGCTGGAGAGGCTGCAAGGACAAAAGAGGGTGAAAACCACAAAATGAAGAACTCGGGCATCTCCCTTCAGTAAGTTAAGTACTGAAACCCTGCACACTGGAGAATTTCTCTAAAATTCCCATCCCTTCGCATAACTTTCTAGTGAAATTTCTTTTTATCCTCCCACCAATGAAGATTCAGAAATTAAACGAATTGGAAAAAATCAGCACAGTGCTATTTTGAATAATTTAAAAATGCTGTCTAAATGCTAAGAATTGGTATTATATCGGCATAACCATCTGATTCAGCCCAATAACCATCAGAGGTAGTCAGAACAGATTATATTTATATTACCTCCTTTGCCATGTTTGAGCCATCCAGAGACAAGCACACACATAGGGCTGGATTGCTCAACACTGGATGCTAACTCACAGCTGAACCCACTGTTTTGTTTGCAGTGAAATGTTCTTGGGGCGGGAGCAGTATGGCCATGCTGCCTGTGGAGTGAGGTCTCTGAAGGCCCATTCACACAAGCGAGCAACCTTTTCATAGTCATGAACCGCAGAAAGCGGAACTGTGCTGCAGCAAAGCTGAATTCACCTGGTTCACGTTGCAAACATGTTCCCCATTCCTTGCTGTGAAAGACCAGTTCCATGGACAGGCATCAGTGCTTTCATATCAATAGGGAATTATTGGCTCATCAAAGAGACTGACTTTGACAGCTGAAACCTCTATTTTCAAACCTTTCATTTACTTGTTTTACTATAATTAAGGGATTCAGTTTAACCTGTTTGCTCCTTTGTTTTATATACTAAAGCCAAATCCGATTTTTCTAAAGATTTGAGTACAATAAGTCTGTCACATTAGCATTAGAGAATTCTGTTTAGTCAGCCTCCTTTTAACTAAAAATTAACTGGTCTGATTAAAATATCATTGCATATTACCCTTATAGTAGGCACTTCATTAATAATTGAAGAAAGTGTATATAACTTTTAAAAAACAAAGGCTACCATTTTGTATTTGAAGAAAGGTCACCTTTAATAGCTCCATTTATAAACTTCCCTATTATATCAAACACTAGAAATGAAAAATTAAAGATGTATCTTTGATTCATAACCCTATTGATTAAAATTCATCCCCACTGGTTAGAGAGGTGGACTGGCAACATGGGAGATCCAGGTTCTAGCCCTTACTTGGCCATGAAGCTCACTGGGTGAATTTGGGCCAGTCGCACGCACTCAGCCTAACCCACCTCACAGGGTTCTTGTCATGAGCCTAAAAGGGAGTGGAGGAGGACTAGGCAAGCCACTCTAGGTTCCTTGCAAAAGGAAAGATGGTGGAATATAAATGGAATGTAACCACCACCATCATCTTCTTCCTAAGTTTCAGTTGATTTATCTACTACAAACTTGCACCCGGTGCACATTGATCACCCTTGCCAATGCAGTTCAGGATGCAGTTCTGGTACATTCAATGGAGCATATTCTGAAAAGTCTTTAAAATGGAGCTGGTCCCTGGGCATTCTGAGTGATTCCTATACTAATAAACTTGTGTTGAACTAACAGAAAAACCTGCTTCAATAAAAGCAGTCTCTCTGAGCAAAAGGTTTAAGTTGAATCACCACTGCTCACTACAGTGCTTACAAGACTCACATCAATAGCTTTAAATTACTCAGAAAACTACCAAATAAATGAAAATTAAAAATGGTCATGTGAAACCACCATCAATCAAACTGATCATGCAAAAAGAATCAGGGGCATTGCCCAGATCTCATATTAGCATAATAACACAACAGGTGTTTTACCATGTTCTTAAATCATGCAGTAATTTGTGCTGTTTAGAAAGTCCAAGAAGTCCATCATTTTAGTTGGGGGATTCTGTCAGGATCCCACCCCTTCTCTTCCCACTCTGTTCTCAATTAAAATTAGAATAATGAAGCCACTGGACCAAAGGTAACAAATAAAACTTTCAAAATTGATATGTTAAAGGGGATAAATTCAAAACCTTTCTCTTTTTATAAGCCTCATTGTTTTATTGTTTTAAACCTCACTGTTTAGTTGATAGATTCTATTTTGAAACTTATCTATACAATAGTGTGTGTGAGAGAGAAAGAGATCTTAGAAAACACGTATTCTTATCAACCTACCAAAGGATTTTGACTTGTCTGTAAAATGGAAACAGCTTTGCAATGGGAAGTTGGTATTAAACACAGAAGCAGAGACTGAAAATCCCTATAATTCATTCGTGACTCCAGCAGTGTGAAAGAGAGATATACAGATATGTGTGTTTACCTTCATCTCTTTTGCGTTTGTTGCTTTCAGCGCTGGGAGACGTAATTCCCAGAATTCCACTAATGGAGTAGGAGGAACCCGCTGAGTCTGTGCTTACTGAGGATACTTGGGTCACGGACCCTGTGGAGGCTGTAATGAGAAACAAATTAATCAATATGAAAACCCATGGAAAAGAAAGCATGTGCTTAAATTCTGCCATGGCTGCCATGTTGGATGTTCCTATTTAAATATGGCTATCTACAATATTACTTTTACAACAAAGCTTTTACAAGAGTAGAGGAAGAGCTTGCAGCTTGGATACACTCTTCAAGCTTAAGTCTTGGGAGCTGGGTTTCCTCTTATTTGTTTCAAACAACAGACTTTGCAAAACAGCTCATTTCCAATTGACAGCCAACGAAGTATAGCTAATGAAAGTCTCTGTGCATCAACAAAGTGATTTGTTGACTCCAAACTAGAAACTACTTCCAAGAACCCTTCCTTAAATAACCCTGGGCTCCACCCCTCTGAATGGGGGTTCTAGGGAAAGGCTAGCACCCTAGATCTACACAGGCCCTCTACTTGGGTAGCTCTTCTAACCTGACACTGGTATCATTGGGTCAAGGACTAGAAGAGCATGGGTTCATCTTCCTCCTTTCCCTTGTCCCCTCCTTTCTCTCCCAAACCCTGTCTATTCCCAGGATCTACTAGAGCACCTGCAGATGACAGGCTTGAGGTAACCTCACCCTTCTTCACCCTCTCCATCCCACACTCCCTGTGTCTCAGTCATCACAGCCCTCATCCGAAGAACCAGTGCAAACCTGGCCCTGGAAAGCCCTCCAAGAATAACTTTCCATTCCCAACACATAGGAATTTCTGGCATGTTGTCCAGCCCAGTTCTCTGTGACAGGTTGACTGCTTTTGTACAGGAACAAGCAAAATTAGCATGATGTACATTTGAGAGCAGTGCAAAACTATTCTGTCCTGTCACACTTTACCTACAGATTCCTACAGTCCTACAGATTCATGAAACCATAGGAGAACTGTGAACAGCTCCCAGGCCATTTAAACAACCCATAGGATATAGCACTTTTCCTAAGTGTTCAACACAGTTTATAAAGATTTTACTTTGTTTCGGAGGTCCATGTTATTGCATGCTTAAGATAGGAAGCCGCTTACCTAACGGCTTACAGCTCATGTTCTTAAATACTATGCCAGCTCACAAGGTATATCTCAACCTTTCCTCTAAGATGTTCAGGATTTGAAATGAGTAAGAATGTTGTTGTTTTTTTAATAAAAGCTTATGAGTTCTTGTCTATTAACACTTGATGACAACACTGGCAGCCATTTTGGGGGTAGCAATATTAGGAAAACCACTGGGTTTGGGGAGGGCAAGGCAGTCCCCTGACCTCTGGAGGTTGACCTCTACTGATATATGGGATAAAAATAAGATTTTAAAATGTGGGAATGCAGAAGAAATCAAAATCAGGAGGCACCTATCCCTTCATCAGGGACATCAGGTTGTGGAGACCAGGTTGTCCCCAGGGAAGTCACCCACGGAGGTACCAACCGGAGAGAGCAGCCTTTGCTATGCATGGGCATTCCCAGTTGGGTTCCTGACCATGGTGACACATAGAGGTGTAGTCAGCATCATCCCCCACTGAGAGGAAACCTAGTAGGCTAAACATTGAATGCACTGTTCCCTCACCCAATTGTTACCCCAATCAGTGGCTGGAAATAACAGTAGAGATTCCATGTAGCACAGGGGCGAGCATTTTCTAGGGGTCAAATCCTCCTTTCCAGAGCCCACCAGGAAACCCACCCCTGCCTACACTGCGCTAGGAAATTTGCTGCTGTCAACACACACAAAGGATCAATGTGTCTCTAAAAAAAAAAGTCAAAGTCTTATTTGCAGCTATGCCACCAACTTTTGGCAGAAAAATGTTTTCTTTCAAAGAAGGGGAAATCAGCCTCCAAACCCTAGACATGTTGTTCTCTTAGAATAGCGGGCCATTGAGAGACATTTGTTGCATGGAGAGGAGAAGAGGAAAAGGTTGATGCTAACTTCATTGAAGTCCAGGCCCAATTCAAGGTGTTGGTGATGACCTATAAAGCCCTAAACGGCTTGGGTCCTGGTTACCTGAAGGAGCGCTTACATCCATATACGCCCGCCCGCCCCTTGAGATCTGCGGGAGAGGCCCTTCTCCGGGAACCCTCCGTGAAAGAAATTAGGAGGGTAGGTACTCGGAGGAGGGCTTTCTCTGTGGTGGCGCCCAATCTATGGAATGTGCTCCCCAGAGAGGTCCGCCTGGCGCCGTCGTTATTTGTTTTTCGGCGCCAGGCAAAGACCTTTTTATTTAAGCATCATTTTAATTGTTAATATTATTTGCTTATTTCATCTGGCCAGGGCAACTTATTTTATATTGTTATTTCTTGTATTTTATGTTGTGAGCCGCCCCAAGGCTTTGGCGAATGGGGTGGCATAGAAATGTTTTAATAAATAAATAAATAAATAAATAAATAAAATAAAATAACTGAATTTGTAGCTGGAGCAAGATGGACATGAGACTCTGGAGAGGCTTTTTAAGGGTTACTGGGAGGAGAGGAGAAAGGAATGATCCACTGTATTGGCTGTCTTCCACTCATGCAAAGCTGGGTTTGACCACTGCAATTTGTCCACAGTCCTGTACCATGGAATAAAATTGCCTTTTAATATATGGAGGTCACTAAAGAGTCTAAAATATAGATCTAGCTTGTGGGTGGGCTATTTCAAAATAAGAACATTGAGGATCACTTCCATGTAGCTCAAGTTCATATTTAAGCAAAAGTATTCAAAATTAAACCAGTTCAGCTGTAGTGGAAATCAAAGAAATTAAACTGGTTTAAATCCAAGCACTTCAGTTTTGCTGGATTATGGATTAGGCTGTTTGAATTTGAAACATAATGTGAACTACTCAGACAGCTTCAGTAGAAAAATGCAATACATGAAATGAAATTTTAAAAATTACAGCTCAGAAAAAACTGAAGTGGTGTTAAAATCCAAATCAAATTTAGTGAGTTCAGAGAGTTTGTTGTTTTTAAAGTGAAAAGAGGCAGTGAAAATCATGCAATGCCAGGCTGTGGAACCCTGCTTCACAACCCCACTGAGCAGAAGTACTTCACTTTCCCACATTTGGTTCAGTAGGACTACATTGATTAGAATATATTATACAGGTAGTTTGACTTCACTGAATTAATTATAAGCAAGTTTATGCTCCTGTGTCAGAGACACACCAGGAAAATAAAACTCAACCTGATACAAACTCCATCACTCTTCAATAACTAGAGTTAGATGATATGAATCTGAAGTAGGAAAGAAAAATGAAGTGGGGGTGGGGGAAGCAGAGGAAAGTTTTAAAAGTTTTGCTACCTCTTCACTCAAAATTGCAAGTGCACAAAGAATTATGGAAGGGTTGGTTGATAGAAGAAAAAAACACATTCAAAACTACTTACTGACTAATGATGCAGAAAATGTTATGAATAACTATCCCTTTCTTGATTTATTACTTTAATTATCTGACATTCTATAGTCCCCCATTAGTGGGATGATTTTTTTTTTTTTGGTTTAGATTTCAATTTTCTGTCTCATGGTGAAAGCTATTTATCATAATAATCAGTAAAATTCAAAACCTTTTAACAGTATTTATAAAATTCATTTACCATGTTCAGCCCTTGGAGAATGACAAAGAAGGTGCATTAGTACGTGTGCTGAAGTGTTCTGTGCAGAATTATCTGCCCATAAGAGTGATTAAAAGTTCTTTAGAATGAATTGCCATATATATATATATATGTAAGTTTCCCTTACCTATGCTGTGACTGGAGGCTGGAACTTGTTGGTTGGGTGGTTGCTGTACCTTTGTTCGTATAATCCTGCATAATAGACAAATGGCTACTTACTATTAGGTATACAACAATAGAAAACAAATTAGCTGTGCAACATAATTAAGCATGATGAGACTGCATGCAAATGATTTCAATTAATTACTTTTGTATTTCCCAAATATAATTTGTGAATATCTGAAAAGCCAGGTGATGCTGAGAATTAACTACATGTGATATCAGTCACTACTGAAAAAACTGGGAAATATATATCTGTTTTAAGATATTCACAATATTAATCTGGAATTGCGTACATTCCCATGTGAATGTCGCCATACTCAAAGGTTTAGACATTCGCTGTAACATAAATGATACTGTCCCATCAAAATAAAGTAAAAGAACGGCAGCTGAGCAAATGCAAAGAATAAATCTAGAGCTCAAATGTAAGATGTCATTTCTGCACAAATATACCCACCCTGATCCCCGCCACCTCTAATCCACAGAAAGTTGAACTGCGCATAAATCCCACAGATACCAATAAGCCTTAAACAAGTTGTAGCTATATATTATTAGCAATAGTTAACATCTTGCCTTGTTTATTTGAATGGGACTTAAATATGATGAATTTCATCACCTTTGAAGCAAAATGTGGCAATTGGTGTGGGTTTACGGGTGATTGGTGCTTTGGCATGAGACATGATGTGCTAGCAGCACTTGCGCTAATCCAGTCAAAACGGCTATGATGCCTCCAACCCCACAACAGGAAATACCCCATTATTACTAACTAGGTATTTCTCTTGTGTTTCCTCTGGGTTCACTCCCACTGAAGTACAATATGTACAAGTGCACTAACAATTCACAGCACCACAAATTAAGATTTTACACCACTTTATTTAATCTGATATATATTTGGCTGCATTCCTAGTTTCAAAATATTTACTGATGCCAGCACAGCCAGGTCCTTTAATGTTTCCCATTTCTACATGTATTAAATGTAAAAATTAAATGTACAGCAGATTTTAGGGCATCCATTCATGTGGAGATAGACAGGGAAGGAAAGTTAATATAGAATAAATAAGATTCTTACAATAGAAAATCCACAGTGGAGACATATGAAGAACTGTAAAAAAAGGAGGTGAACTCTTATGCCTTTTCTTAGTGGCATAGATGGGAATTTTGCCATTGATTTAAAAAAGAACAAGATTGATGCACTCACCACAGAGTGGTCTTTACTCAAACAGTATACCATTAATTGACATAATTCTCTGCACCATATAGATGCCCGCTTTAATATATTTCAGCCGGCAGCTTATGGGCTGATGATTTCCTCTGTGGGTAGGTAACTAGCCACATTTCCAGCTTTTGCCTGGTTATCACCTAGTTTGGGGGGGTTTTTTGTGTGTGTTTGGTATATTCACACAATAACATCTACTGTTGTTTTAAATACTTTTCTCTTTGAGGCACAAGTTGTTTGGGCGTAGCTCTAGGTTGTAAGAATGCAAGACCAAAGCCAAGCCTCAGGCAGAGCCTGTGTAAATTCCCCGGTATCTTTGCATCCTGGATAACTGAGTGGATCTGACCACACCTGGCACAGTGATACAATTATACACCTTCAGAACAGCTGACCGGAAGACTGAAAAATAAGAGCAGCAAGGTAAGGGCAGAGGGGCAGCAGGAACTTTTAGGATACTTCAATTAGTTACCACGTAAGGTGGTACAAGGTATGAATTAATACGTTATGAAAATAGAGAATGTATTAATTAAAAAAGTAGCAGGAGTCCATTGCTGATCATTTCCAACTAGAGAAGAGAGTCTTGACTTCTGAATTCTGCTGGAATGGCATAGTGGCTTTCCTTTTGGAAGTTTTGTGCCACAGTCAGCTGGAAGAAGCTCAGAAGGTGTCACTCGCACTGCTGCAAATCACTAGGCTTGTTTCCCATCAGCTATGCCTCAACATGTGACCGACCCATATAACCTGTACCAGTGGGATCATTATGTATGAATACTTGGCCACGGGAACCAAGCAGGTGAGTGTTCATGCTGGCATTTACATGGGGCTCAGTGGAAAGCTGCTGCAAGGTCTTCCTCCCAGCACATAATTTAAGCCACGGACTGACAGGACTTCAGTCATTCTTTCCCCTTCCTTCAGTGCTAGAGCTCAGCACTGGGAGGTTTAAGACAGAAGTGCATGGGAGTACAGAGAGCACCTCCTTCCATATGTAGGACTGGGGACAGAGGGAGGTAGAGTTCTTTCATCAGCGGTGGTGACTTCCAGGCATTCTGGAGATGTATCAACATCTTGTTTTATGACATTAAGCAGAAGGACCATTTTTCAGATTATAAATGTATTATGTACATTAGTATTTTCCCTTCCACTTCCTATTTAGGCAGCAGGAAGTTCTCACATGTTTATCTGTCTATCTAGACATATCATATGATAAAGAAGTCACTGTGGATATTAGTAGGTCTAAAGGGGAAGAGTTGCCTTCACGTAGGATATAGCTTTTTTCACTGCCCAAATACTTTAGCCCCTGTGGATTTGGCGACCTGTAGGAGTTCTTCGTAGGTGAGTGGCTCCCCACTGATACCTCGAGTGGGTGGTTTCCTCTTGATCCTTCACATAGAAGTTTGCTGTGGATCATTATGGGGAGCATGTCCAGTGGGGAATGAAATTACTGGGAAGCCACTGATGGCAACAACTCCCTGGTGTGCATCCACTCCAGGTGCACAGAGAAGTATTTTCACTTCACATTCAATACCTAAAGCACTATAGGACAAACATGAGTGCCACCTACAGTATGACTCATCCCTGAATAACAAATGGCTGTATCGCATTAGGTTTTCACAGAACAGGGAAACTGTTTTCCTTTCCTTTGCCCCCACAAACTTCTCAATGTATTCTCCTTGTAGAATTTTTTAAATGTCTCAGCAGTACTTTTCATATGATGAAAAAGTAAGTGTTTGGTGAAAAGAGACATAGCCCTTAATGTTGGTATATTTAACTCCTGCAAGGAACGCTAAACTTGCCCTTGCCTAGAAACTGTAAACGGTACAGTTAGTTCATAAGAGAAGGTCAGCTACGGGGTAATATAAAAATAACAATAGAAATAATAACAATAGTAATGACAATAAAAGCACACTCTCTTTCTCTGTGTCTGTATGTGCCCACATCTGTCTGTCTGCTTCTGTCTCCCTGCTTGTACTTTATCATCTGAGAACTGTAAAACTCTTCATTCACTAGGGGTGAATTCAAGTTTACTTGTCATCCTGCAAACATTTTTTTACTCCACAGCAGACAAAGAATGTATGCAGAGGCCCAGCTGAGCCTGCACTGTGTTTTATCAATTATTGGAGTAGAACCGGACCCTGCTGTGAATACCAGATCTAGAGGAATGAATTGAAAAGATAGAACAAGCAACTTCTAATACTTCAATTCCAAACACATTACTGACTCCTAATTCCATTGATTTTGGTGCATTTTAACTTCCACATAATGAACTTCTTAGACATAAGTATAAGCTACACTTGGAAATCAAAGTTAACATGGTGCCAGAGTTTTCCATTTTTCAGCAGAGGTAAAAGAAAGGAAGCTAACAATCTCAGCCTCTTTGGGTAGATCTAATAGCAATGCTCACAGCTAATTTTCATACTTTTTTCCCCTAAAGGTGAGCAATAGGCAATATATCAAATTCTGCTTAAGCCCCTCACATATACAGGACAGATAGATATATACTAGCCACTGCTGTAGGGTTTTACCTCATGTATACTGGACCAATCAGTTTTGCTTACTTATCCTCCATTTTACTGCTAATCATTTTCCAATATCAAACTAGAGGCCTGCATCAGCAGAACAGAGGAGAGGGCAATATTATTGCCACCTATGCCACCTCCCATCATTTTAAGATGTTCTTTTAATGGAAGGACACCAATTTAATAGAGCCACTAGAACTCCCTTGCAAGTTAATTCTAAAGTTCCATCTGTCCCAATATTCTGCTTCCAGCTATGACCACTGAGATACTGGATTCAAGTGCTGGATTCTCATAAGATGATAGCGCAGCAAGGATCAGTCTTCTCCTATTGCTTGTCCTCAGCATATGCAAACAGATTATATTGCAAAAGGTATGCAAATGCATTAGATATATCATTAAATATTTTGCAAAGGAGAAAATGGAACACACAAGCTACTACATTTATTCCTCACTCATCTTGTGTTTGCCTTGCCCTGCCCTGTTAAGCCCCAAAATAAATCACAGGTCGCATGACACATTTCTATTGCTAAGACTACGCAATCTAGTCCTCTAAGCAACTTGGATGGGAGATAATGACCATACATAAAAACATTAATGCATCCATATGCAATATAACCATATGGGCATACGTGTAATAAGGAAATTCCCCCTGGACTTGTTGCTTCCCATCGCTACATAGCTTTAGATTGTAAGTTCCTTGGGGGAAGACCTGTCTATTTACTTATGTTATTCCAGAAAGAGTAGCAGAAGGGGAATCAATCCTCCAAAATCCCTACTATAAAATGAAGACAAGACAAAGGTGAAGATAGCAGCAAGTCTATTTTACAGTCCAGAGAACTTTGTTATTATATGAAGTATTCTCCATTAATAACTTTGGTAAGAGCAGACTAGCAGAAACATCAACTGAAAAGTTAAATAAGAAGTGAAGTTATGTGAGCAATCCTGCATGGATGGGAGTAAGTCTCACTGAATCCTGCAGAACTTGCTTCCATGTAAGTAAGTACTTGTTATGGGATGTGTATCTTGTAAGAGGAAGGCTGATTGCAGAGGAGAGCCTATCATTTCTGGAAAGAATAAATTATAAATATTCTTTTCAGGCAAAAATGAATTCAAGCAGCTCAAACCAAAACTCAGAAATATTTAGAATTCTGCCAGCAACTCTGCAGTGGCATCAATGGGACTAAATTGGCTTAAGTTCCTCCATTTTCTCTTAATTGGGTGTAGGTCAAGCTGTTATTTTACATTTCAGGTTTGGCCAAACATTCTTCCTAACTGTGTGTGCAATATGCAAAAATTATACCGTTTCATCCAGCTGAACACCTCAGAAACATTTAATTTGCCCACAATCCCACAGTGCTCACAGCAGTGGAAGCAGAAACCATGTGAATATACTAAAGCATATTAAAATACCCCAGATCTGGAAAGTGCAGATAGTTATGCTCTGTCGTCCCTACATCAGCACTTCTGGTTAAGGCTTGTGATTTCAAAGTCCACTTTGATTGTTCTGAATGGTACTATAATTAACAGTTGGACTGAAAGCAAAGTTAGTTTCACTTTACATCTACTGAATTTGATGGGACTGAATTAGGACTGGGTAGTCTCAATGATTTCAATGGGATATAAATGTAAATATTTTTCTTCAGATAATTAATACTCATGAAGCTGTATATTTTCACTGCAAAATACACAGTGAAAAACATGAAATTCCACAAAAAAAAATGGGCAGATTTTCTGTTTGTGTCCTGACCTTTTCATCTTTGTCTGTTTTTAATCATATGGGAAATTGTTAAATGTTTAATCACAATACCAAAGCTGTCTGAATCTTTAAATAGATATATGAAATAATTCAACTCTTTATTATGCATCAATCAGTACAAATGGAATTGTATCATTCACTAAACTGAGAAAATGTAAGTGAAGTTGTATGGAAAGTATATTCAAGTTCGTTGTTTATAATATACAATGTTATATATGTGTGGTGGGTTCTCTAAATATAAAACAGACTTTATCATTTTAAAAATTCAGCTCACATATATTTCAGTACAAAATACTGCAGGTATGAAAACACTACAGTATGACAGAAGGTTTCATGACACAAATGCTATATATGAGCATCTTCAGCAAATACAAGTTTTCTTTGCCTTATGTAAAGGGAAAAGGCTAAGCTTGGGACTTTCAGCAGTACCTGTTAAGCTTGACTCATCCTGAAGGCTGAATGCACACACCAAAATCCTCTAAAATGGCACAGAGGAGTCTCAAACACCCTACCGGCTTGGAGGGGAACAGAAAAGACTGAAATCAGAATTTCAGTCCAGCTTTGAACCATACCACAGCCTTTAATACTAAACACATTTTGTGCCTCAGGAATTAACATTATAATTCACAAGTGATATGACCTGCAGAACATCTATTTGGAGCAACAACTATGGAATAAATGATTGCAGGTCACAGTCCAACAATGTTTCAGCTCTCTCATGAAATACATACCTTGGAACAGGGAATGGAGGAATGTAGTAACTACAATTATACACATTGAGACAGTGACAGCTTCTTGAGAAAAATCAGTTAATTGGCATTCTATTCATAATCATGACTGTTCATGCACTGGATGGTTACAATTTCCAAAGCCTAAGATTGCACTTTATATGCAAGTTTCCCAATGTATTTTACAAAATTAATAATTAGAATTAATGATATGTAAGATTTAATAACCACATTGCAGAGGCCAATAAACTCCAGGTTCTCCAACATTTGTTGCTGGTTATCAGTAGATTCACTGCTAGTTTGCTCAAGTTTACTTTCAATAAATTTATAATAAAGGAGAAAGGATAATCTAGAAGAAATGTGGTCACTTGGTCTTTGTCCTGGTACCAAGACTAAGCCTTCCTCATGTTCCAGTCCATATTCCAGAGTTCTAAATTCACAATATTTTCCATTAAATTCCAAGAGAAGGTTACCAGTTTTGTTCCTCCTAATTCTCACATTTCAGAGTATGAGAGAGGAGATGGGGATAGGAAAAGGGACATTCAGGACTGAGGCTTTAATACTTCTGTGGGGATAAAATTTCATATTGCCCCATAATGGTATGTACACCAAGCATTAAATGGAAAACCTACCATATGCATTCCCACATCTACATTTTGTACATATGAACAACTTTGTAAATAATCAAAATAGTTTTGTAACAGTATCTGATAATTACAGTATACATTACCAAAAGGATCTCCTTCATACTGCCAGAAGATTCTTACCTGTTAATTGAGCTAACGCTGGGCACCGTGTCATTATCACACACTCGCTCTGCTAAAAGTCTGTCCCTGATCTCCCAGGCAAACATGGTGGGGTTTTGGCGTTTATATTCTGCAATTTTTTCTACTACTTTGGGTGTGGCGACCTTTGGTTTTGACCCCCCAATAACTCCAGGCTTAATGCTTCCAGTCTCATAGTACCTAGGGTGAAATTTCAGGAAAGAAATATATATATATACATATGTATTTAGAATCATTTCACAGAAAGGTTTTTTCAATAGATATGACTATTATACATTCTAACATTATGGAAATTATAAGACATAAAGACCAAACCAAATTAAATTGCACAGATTTCAACTGGAAGGATTTCAACTTGTGCTTAATTCACCCACAATAAACCAATACGACTTAAAAGTATATTTTAATTTCACCTAATTCATGCCCGTTTCTTGCTATTATACACTATTTTATATACAATAATGTGTGTGAATATGCACGTGGTTGCCCACATGGCCACATGACAATAAAAATATTGAGTTTAAAGAACCAAATAGAATTGAAAATTAAATGAAAATATGCATTATGAGTTTGTGACAGAAGCAACAATAACATAAATTATCATTAACATTTAATTTAATTTTATATTTCCACTGTAGTAAATTGCTGTGGAAGGCTTGCCAGAATTTTTGGAACTAAGTGGTAAATAATATCATGAAAAAAAAGTGTAGTCAAAACAAATGCATCAACGTTAATTCTTTTTTACATTCTTTTTTCATTCCTAGCTGTGCAGTGCAAAACTATTTTTTTTCCTAACTGCTCTTCTATGGGTATAGAGAAAGCCCATTGTTTCCTCTTTTTCAAACTACAACCTTTACCACTAAGACCTTCTGGGCTATCAATAAGCTGTATTTAAAGGCTGTTCTCTTCTGTAACAAGTGCAATTCAGTAACAAAACTGCAAATAGGATCTACCAAGCACTTTCCCCACACAGGCTCAAATAAAATGAATGAGGTAATACTGGAGGAATATTTGGTAGTACGGAGATTTTGAGTCTTGCACTCAGCTGTTATAAACTACAGCAGAGACTACCTGGGTCTCTGGACTCATATTGTTGAGAACTGGCATGAAAACAAACCAGAAGACACTCAACAGAGAATCCAAACAAAGAAAAGCCAGTGATGTGTACACCATGCTCTATACTGCAATTTTAGCTAACCAAAGTATCCCTAATGAATAAGGTCACAAAGCCATACTTTCAGGAATTTTTCAAAAAGCTAACACACCCAAGTCATATTAAAATAAGATGAATTTACATTTTGTTTCCTATGTGCTGTGCTACAATTGGGCAGCATACAAATGCAATGAATGAATGAATGAATGAATGTGAGACACAACTGATATTCGGACCAAGCATCTGGCTATAATTTAAGGTCCATAAATTCATGAAGCTACACATTTTTTACAACTGAAATCTCTCCTTGGGTACTTTGCGGTCAATCCTAATATCTTTGATAATCTGGATGGCAAGACACTAATCTGAAATTCTAGAACCATTAAAATCAATAATGATCTTGCTGTTTATTTCAATGTGATATAGTTTGTTAACTAGTCCTACTATTCCCACTTGATCTTTGGGAATATTGTTTGCTATTCAATTCTAGCTTGTTTGAACAATGCTAGGGATGAAACAAACCAAGTTTTATTGTACCTTAACCTTTTCATCGGTGTCTTCTGTTATACTGAAATTAACTTAAGTGTAAAGATTTCTATCACACACATTGAGCTGCATCAAATAGTTACTAGTGTATATTTGTATGACAAAATACTCCATAGGAAATAGGTCATTTAACAGTCTTTGTAGGCTGACCCTTCAGTTTAATCAGCCCCTCTCAACTGAGTTAAAATAAAGAATTTCCACTTAAACCAGTTTATCTCATCAAAGCCAACAGAAGCAAATCAGATTCAGCGGAGGCAAGTGTACCTTCACTGGGATAGATATTAAAATCCTTATAAACCTACTTTCAAATTATTCATAGGATTAATTATTATTTGTTTTTTGAAATGGAAAATGGTAGATTTGCTACATATTCATCCACATCCTTTGTCCCTCACTGATTGCTGTATGATGGTTGCCTTCTGTTTTGGAATTATGGGTAACATTCAATGCTACTCATAGAATAAACCCAGTGAAATGAATAAGATGCGAGTTAGTCACACCTAACTCATTCACTGGGTCCACTCTGTGGTTAACACTGGATACTGCCCAGTGAATAGTTCAGGAGCACTTCAGGAGCACTTGATAATAAACTTACAGGTTATATATAGCACTTCAGAGTTTTAATACATTTCACAGCATCCTAGAAAAGGATCCTAACAGCAATCCTATAAAGTAGGTCAGCATTATTATCCCCATACCACAGATGGCGTGTGGGCTGCAACTGTGAAAGAATGGCTTATCCTAAGCCACCAGGTGAAAAAATCACAGTGGTGAAATTTAACCCAGGGAGAAGCCAATTAATAGTTTCACACCTAGGCCACAACCCCTGTTGCCGAATGTTGTAACACTGGGCAAACAAAGCAAATTTCGAGTGGACCTGATCTCAGAGCATATTTTGTCAGTAGGTCAAACTACTATACTACTTATAGTTCAAAAATGTGGGTCAACAGGATTCTGCATCAGACTAACTACAGGGCTTACCAAAAGAAGTGGATCAAATTCCAAAAGTCCAGGATTCTGAAATGATCCAATGACTAAAGTAATTCTTATTTTCCTCTAATGCCACAGAGGTTAAATTTCCAGACTTGCATCAATGACAAATAATTTCCTTTCTACTATGAAAATGCACTCATTACAAGGTAACATACATACGGAGGAAGTCATAACTCCAGTCTTAATCAAAACAACCTCAGTCCAAGCCCATATTTAAGATTGGGGCAGTCCAATGACACTCAGTCTTGTTCTAGGATCATAATACATTTCCACCACAGATACTAACAACAGCAGTTTGCCTGCTATATCCACAAGTACCATCAACATTGATATAGTAGGCTCAGCAATACACTATTAAATCTGGGGGATGGGGGATGATGTTTATATCTTTGAATGATTCACAATTGTTGCTACTTCATTTTTGTCAAGGTTTAACATAAATATTGCAAATTCCAAACTGTGGCATCAAGTTTATTTTACATGTGGGTTCTCTTAATTTTTTTAGTCACACACACAGAGACGGAGAGAGAGCATGTGCACTCCAATTACAGTGACATTTTACCAACTGTAATTATTAGTTATGAAAATAATGAGCTATGAAATTCCAATTTATTGTTGACAACTTAAATGACAAAGCTCTGGAACTCAATTCTTAGCTCCATAGTAATGCAAATATATCTAGTGACAAATCTATTCAGAAAGAGTAAAACTGTTAGATGTTCTTTCTGGTAGATAAATGACTATCCTGTTTATTAGTTTATTAATTGATAGTAACAGAAACTGTTAGGTGATCTTCTAAGTGGCTGAAGGAGAAGAGAAGGCAGACTGTTGCAAAACTGACCACTGCCACTAAGAAACAGCAGTTAGTTTAAATTCCAAAGATTGCTGCAAAAACAAATGGCCTTTTGTGGCATCACAAATAAACAGAAAAATTTCTAATTGCACAGACCTAATGAAATTGGTGGCTCTAACAGGCTATTCCTTGAGTGTGCGCTCTTGTCTTGCTAATAATGTATCAAATACATTACAACTTTTAAGTCCCTAGCCCTGAGGTTATGTACTCAAGATCAAAGCCAACAAAGTTAGCTGAACACCTCAGAATAAATGCATTTTAGAACTGTACCTTGTTACCATGTCTTTTCACGCATGACAGTATAAAATCAGGACTGATTCCACTTAATCCACTAAATTGGAATTATGTCCAGTAGATATAAGATAGAAAAAATCCGGGTCTACTCTCTGGATTTCACAACCACAAAAGTGTACAGCAACAGAACAGATTCACAAAAACAAGACACCATGAAGAATAGATTTAGTGCAGATTTGTTTGAGGGTTAATATTAATGGCATAGGTTTAACATTCATAGTCAAAGAACTTCATGGAGTGAGATGGAAGGATGCTCTTATATAAAGGAATTTTAATTTACCTGCATTACTTTCTATGAGATTTCTGCTCTAATTAATGTGACAGTGCACATCTTTCAAGGGAGACTTTCTATGTAGAACACTAGCTACAAATCTTTACAACTGCACTATGAATAATAGTTTGTGTTTTCATGTGGAAAAAAGAGAGGTGGTAGTGGAGGTTAAAATATGTATACACTACTGAAACATATGTGTGGAAACATAGTTCTGTCCTACAGGCATTTACTCAGAAATAAATCTCTGTGTTTTCAATGGATTTTAGTTCAATGGAAGTGTTTGTGGATTTTAGTCTAAATTACACCTTATTGCAAAATAAAGGCAACTAAAACCTTCACCTTTTCTAAGGTACACAAATGGAAAAAAATAACAGAAAACAAAATTACCTATACAGATTTTTCCAAAGATATTCCAGAACACTCTAAAAACTAACACATTTATTGGGCCGTGCACTTTATGTATAGGGAAAAATGTATCGTGAATATGATGGAAAGCATATGTTTTTGCAAAAGTATGTAACAAATAGCTATGAACTAATTTTCAACTTATATCAGCTTAAAATATCTGGGCAGTTATTTTTAATCAGAATAAAACTATATATTTGTACTTGATGTTCAAAATCATGAGCTATGAGCATATTGTTCTTTGATCTAGGTCAAGTGCAGTCTGAAACAATACAAACTACACCCTTTATTATTTCAAAATATTGTAGTGTTGCTACATTAGCATATTTCTACTGTAAGCAAATATGGATAGACTTGACGTACATTTAACATTATGCTACCCTTTATTTTCTACTTGCACATTAATTCCAGTGAATGGATAAAAGTTGATTCAGATTGCTTGAGTTTTACAATCATCAGAAGAAACACTAAGGTCATAATCCAATATAGAGTTTAGCATGTTTAAGTTTATTGATTTTGATCCACTTAAACATTGTTAAATATTTTTTTGTTCAGCATGTCTGCACAATGATAAATTCAATGCTTAAAAAGCATGTTTCTTGGGCTGCAATCCTATTTCTACTTACCTGGGAGTAAACTCCAGTGAAGTCAATGGGACTTACTTCTGAGCAGACATGGCTAGCATTGCATTTAACTGAACAGTACATTGCCATAATAATGCACATAATGTACACATTTGCTCTCCTATTTAGCAGGCAGCATACCAAAACATGAAATTTCATTTCAGGAACATTTCTATGAAATATTTTCTTGCTTTGATTTATGCAAAATATGTGTGGATTTTTCTGAAATCCTTGTCAACCATTGGGTTGTCTCTCAAGAATTCTGCCCAGTCACCAGATGAACTGTTTTTTATAGTGGAATATTAGAACAGACAAACAGCATGGATATTTTCTCTTTAAGAATCAAACTGATTCACTGATATCCTTTTACCTTCCAAGAATTTTGCTGACACAGCCATGACTGACCCGTAGTTGCCTGGAAATGTCGCAGGGTCTGACACCTTGATGGGCAAGTTCCACAATCCTTTGGCGGACTACGTCAGGGAGTGGTCGACCATTCACAAAAACACCCCCTAACTGATTCACTCCTCCATGTCCTGAAACATATGGGAGGAAAACAAAACAAAAACAAAAACAAGCAGAGAAAAAAATACATTTTTGTGACGGTTTAGAAGATCCTTACAGAAGGCCTGTTTCAGCTATGGAGCCCCCTCTATCATTGACCGCTAAATAACTTCTAAACAGCATTCTGTAAAGTTTCAGCATTCTAAAATGCTGGCTATGGTTTATTTGCGGAGAGAAGAAGGAACAATGTTATTTATTGAAACCTAATTTGACACTGATAGCAATTTTACACTTGTGTAACTCTAATTATTTCAATAATTACCCAGGAATATGTGGCATTAGAATCAGGCCTCTGGTTTATAGAATCATCTCTCAAAAGTTATTTTTAAGCCAGCTCTGAAATCCTCCAGCAAGGCAAAATTGTGAATGATGGCTATCTGATTTAAGAGGCTGAAATCCTCAACACAGTCACTTTTAGGTACCATTAAAATAAATGAGATGTATTGCCATATTAATATGTTTAGATTAGGGTGCCAGTCTATCTTTGTGGCCAATTTTAACATATTTGATCCAAGATGGGATTTGCCAAAAAATTCAATTTTCCTTTCAAAATCAGTTTAATTGTGTCTTGTAGAAATATGTCTATATATTTAGATGGAATGCTAGATGGTATATAGAGTTTACAGAAGCTTTAGAAAATATTCGGATCCCATAAAAACTGGCTTAGTTAGCCTTTGCGTTTATTCTTTCTGTGTCTGCCTTTTCACTCCTCTCCTTTAACAAGGTGAAATATTTGACTTGTGTGAAAAAGTTCCCAGATAGATGAATAGAAGTTAACTGGGTAAAATCAATGCGGACATAATGTAATACCATATAACTTAAAGTGAAAATATAATTAACCTCCAAATTATTAATCATGCCAGCTACCTATAATAAGGAAATAGCAATGCTGAAAACAAGTAATTGCAATAACCAAGAACATTGGCAACAAGTGAACAAAAATACTAGCTCTATTTACAGAGGGCCTGAACTATACAGAATCTGTTGACAAGTTAAATTGTCTCTATGTTAAACAAATCAGCTACATATATAAACCATTTTATTTAAATTCGGTAATTTTACCTTTAATAAAGGCTGGCAGACTTTGCATTTATCTTCTAAAACCATCAGAATATATGCTAATCCCATATAAACCGTGATAAAGGTCTGTTTGAGTCAGCAAGGAACAACTTCTTACTAAATTTCCTGAGTATTTGTATTTGTTTCAGTTGAATAGATACGACTAAAAGACATTTTGCCCTGAAAATCAAGCTTGACACTTTCTGTGTGTGAGAGAGAGTATGCTTATGTTTTTGTGTTGGTTTCAGTAACTGACGCCTTCATCTTGAACTTAAAACTGTTGTCTGAACAAGGAAGTAAGGAAGGACTGTTTTAGTTAATTAACAATTACAGCCCAGTATGATGAAAGAATAGTTTTACCTACCCCCAACTGTGAGTTTGGTGCTACCAGAAATAGTATTTACTATACTGGCTACATAACTAAAAACCTTCCAATATTGCAAATTTCTTTGCAAAGTCAAATTAGACAAAAGGACTTTATACTTTCAGGTGTTGATGAGCTATACATTGGAATGTAATCTCTATTGATTTAAAATCCTAGTTAGTGTTGCAGTGGACTGGAAAGGGGTCTGATTTATCAGTACATTTGAACAGTCATATATCCCTACTCTAGCAGTTATGCAGTCTACCATTCCAAGTTCCTAGCTGAGACAGATAGACTGTTCAATGTAAACTGAACTCAAGAAAACTGAGTCCCCTGGACTACTTAAATAAGGACAAAGAAGGTAACATGTCAAACACCCCCCCCAGCCAACAACATTACATCCAGTAGATGACTGTTATTAAAATAATATCCAAATGTGAAGGTGATTAATATGAGAGGCAGGGGGAGGGGAACTGGGGACACAGAGTGGAACATAAATCTGGAAAACAACAAGGGGAATTTTTCTCATCCTGTTATATAAGGGATCACTAAGGCTAAGAAACAGTTTTAATTCCGATAATGAAGACAATCCCTCCTGGGCAACCTCACTCAAATATTTTAATAAAAGACAGTAATAATTGCAGACCTATGTCATGCTGGCTTGCTTAAATCCCAGTGATGTCAATGTGGTGTAATCTGCCTAACTGTCCACAGGGTTGGAGTCTAAGTAAACAGTTGATTAATATTACATGTGAGTGAAGGTTTGCGAGGCTGTGGGGTGGATAGTGCTTTTCCTGAATTATACACCATGGATTTATACAGTGCCTGAAACTTCTGAGCAAAAATAAAGAAATAAACATAGGAGCACAATACTAGACTAGTGGCCAGTCAAATTAGCAATCATGTTTAAGCAAGCTAATGTTTTAGATAAGTTAACCCACCCACTCCCCCCACACACACTATAGACAGACACAGAGGAACAGAGGAACATGCTATTCTTCTCCAGAAAGATGATTTCCCTTTTTCCCCTCCCGCACCTCCAGTAGCTCCGTTCCAAGCTGAAAGCACTTTGGGTTTGATCCATCTTGAAAAGAAAAGAAAGCAGGCAATCTGGGTTTCCACTCCAATGCAATCTGGACTGAAGAGAATGCCAATTCAACCCTCACCTACTAAGGCCAGGGTGGGATGCTGCTAAATCTGACAGATTTTTTTCTTCTTGGTGGGCTGGATCTGCAGTTGCTCTGGGGCATTAAAATTTAACATTCAAGCGTCACTAAAGAAGCTCCACACAGGTCCTTCCAAAGTCTCTTGCTGGCAGTTAAAGTGAAGTCCGGATTTATGCCGTTCATCTTTCTGGCTGGAGGAATTTATGGGATGGAAAGGGAATAACTAGTTCAAATGAAAAGAAAATGATCCATCCGTGGGGATGCTCTGGTGTATACCTTCTCTATTATCCGACAAAAATTCCCCATTAGCAGATAGAAGCTCTCAGTGTTTAATTTAAGGGAGAATGTGCAAAGAGTGTGTGGGGGAGAAGTGCTTAAAAAATAATGGGTCAGATTTTCTCCATTGTTTCAAGGAGCAGCCATGCACATTAAACAGAGGACACATGAGATCCAAGAAGGTCAGGTCATTCATCCTTTGGGCATAAGTTAGCCCAGCTCCAACTAATATTGCTTGTTGTTCAGCCTTAATACAAGGTTGGTGATCTTCTTGGGATAACTCCTCTGTCTTAGCGAAACCAGGTGGCAGTGATTTAGTAAGGCTAGGAAAGCTCTTCTGGACTGTACAATTCACTACTCAAGCAACTTTCACAAAGAAGCTGTGAGTTATGTGGGCACGCACCTGGGTGTGCATGTATTCTAAGAACACAAGGTGTGCTACATGTGCCAGTATCAAGAGTTCTGCATCCAGGTTTCCCATTTTCTAAAAATGTGCATACACATAGCCTATATTACAGATCTCCACAACACTCTGAGGGTGTCTGCTAAAGTACAGTTTATAAAAACTTTAATTAAATAAAACAATCTACACTGTGTATATCCACACATGCCTTAAATATTTCTATACAGATATGTGTATGCATCTCTGAGCTAAGTACCTATTATTATTATTAATCAATTAATAATGTTTTTATCCCTTAGTTCCTCAAAGACACTCAGAAGCAGATAAATAGACTCTCCAAAACAGGAGGAAAAGATTAGTGTGTATTCATTAAAAGGGCCAGTCGTTCTTAAGCATTAAATCTGCTGAGGTACAAAGTTTTTAAAGTTTGATGTATTACAAGTTCTGGTATCTTTACTGAAGTGTGGGTAGGGAAATACTCAAGAGTATTGGAGGAACAGAACTTGCAAACATTGCATGAAAACTCATTAGCAGTCTTTAAAAAATCTGTATTTCAATTTGACTTTAAAAATGAAATGACAAGTCAGTTCAGGCAGACAGGAAGCCTGTGTACTGCCCGTTGAAATTCACTTCCATCCTCCTTTACTGCACAGGATTTTATTATGATGTGTCCATACCTTGACTTTGGCCTTATCTACCCCATCTAAAGAGGAATCTTTTGCAATTTTAGCCTTACAATCACATGCAGCTATTTATCTGGAATGCATCCTCAAAGGTCTCCCTGACACAAGAGGTTCACCTGACTTAGCACTAAAAAAGAAAATAGGCTTCTTCTCAGTATAATACTGAATAATTTCTTCTTTCAGCTTTCAGTTTCCTGTGCACTCTAGTCTTCCAAAAATACGACTATCCATAGTCTATGAAGAATAAGGTTTATATGTTCTTGATGGGGAAGGGCAGGCATGCTGAACATTGCAGCAACTGAGACTTTGACTTGGAAACTCAACCCTTCATAGTTTGAACCAACCACTGCAGGCTGAGTATGCTGCAAAGTGCTACCAGCATCCAAAAAGGCTTTTATCCCATCTCAAAACTCTGAACTCTTGTTTGAAACACCTGCAAAACACTGACATCAGGCACAAATGGCCAAAGACTGTGTTAAGAATGTAAAACTTCATGGTAGGAAGAGGGAACCAAGATGCAAGTTTTTTCTCACATATGATAGATGTTGATCCTGGAGAGATTGTCTGGTTTAATCTTCTTTTTTACTGGTAAGGAAAAGATCTCTTTTCCGTTCTGTCCTGCTCTTGTCATGCTAATTGAAAAGCCAGGTCAATTCAGCCTAATTTGTCAAGTAACTCAAGTATGCAAAATTAGAAACTCTGGCTATTAACTAGCTTTACCTATATAAAATAAGTAGATGATGAATGAACTAAAGATGCATATTACTAGAAAAGATACATAGAAGGAGAGAAGCAGGAACACAGATAGGTTCTCACTCTATCCATTCTGATTTTCTTCCACCTGCAAAGGTCTATTTTTCCTCCTACCATGATGCTTCTATGCTGGGGCATAGTGCATTAAGGTTTCTCTTGCCAGTATGTTTTACTGCTTCTGATAGTTAAGGAGAAAATGTGTTTGTTTTTCCATCCTACCAAAACATGCATCGAGGCTGCTCTATAAAAACCTCCATATTCACTTGCCCAGGAACTAACCAACTTATCTAAAGGTGATTTTGCTGGCTTCTGCAGACTACTGAGTACTTTTCGTGTTTCTCTTTGTAGAGATCCCTCCCTCCCTTTGCTTAAGAGATTGTGTTTATCCAGTTCCAGCTCAAAAAAGATGTCTTGCTTCAGAGCGAACCGAAAAATAGATTCATATGAAATAGGTGAATACAGTACAGACTTCCAGGTTGTGCCTGGTTTAGAAAATCAGTGTGGGAGTTGAGTCAGGAGGGAAAACCTCATTTATTTTCTACATAGGAGGGATGAGTTTGTCTGTGCATTTTAAAATGTTTCAGAGCCCCTTCCAAAACAAAGTATGTTTTTTGATGAGGGATGCAGTGACACTAATGCATAGTTAGGCTATTCACCCCATTTCCTCTCCACACCTCACTACTTTGAAAATGAAATGCAACAACTGATGTCTTTCCAGGACAGCTTGAAATAACATGATTGTGAAGGAACTTACTTGTGTGTGCGCGTGTGCGCGTGTGCGTGCGTGCGTGCGTGCAGGGGAGCAACTCAGGGTGGACTGGCTGGTCCCTCTTTCATGTCTGTTTTTGTTGTTCTTAAATTCTTGAAGAAGGTATCGATTTATCATTATTTAGGTTAATGGAGGAAACCCTTAGTCCCCTGGTAGCTTCCCCACACATGCTCTCTCTTCAGATTAGCACAAAGGCAACTCAAGGAGTGTTGGGGGGCGGAAAGAGAACACTCCTTTTGATGTCCATTTTTAAAGCCTCTTTCCTCTGCAAGACTCTGCATGCACATGCTTGTGGTCTAATATAGTAGTCTCCGTTCTCTCTCACGCACACATTTTTAGATAATTTGTTATCCCTTCCCCCTCTCCCCCAGCACCTGCATTTTCTCTATATGAGAATTATTTTACATCCTGGTAATTTTACAATCTTATTTCTCTGTGTTGTGTGTATTGTGTGTCTAATGATGTAGTCTGAAATTGTTTTATATAGAAAAATGAATGGATGGATGGAGAGATAGATTAGATAGATCAGATAGACTTTTATTTAGAAAAGAAAATCCGTCTTGGCTAAAAGGCTGCTGTGCATAAGGGAAATGCGATTAGTTCTACCCTATATTTCCTTGAAATCTCTGGATCTAATCCGGCGTTTAACTCACCGTGAGAGAAGATGTCATTTCACATAACATTGTGTTAATGGATAAATCTCCTCCAACCCTCTCAAGCACAACAAATCTCAAGCAAACATATTACACTCAACCTACTAACTTAAAACAGCCAAGTTCCAATGTTTAAGGCCTTTTAAAACATTCTGCCTTACTCCATCTTGATATTTTAACCAATTTGATCTTTTTTAAAACATTGAGAAGAAAAATATTTTTATTTTTTTACGTGGTGGAACACTTTTCTTTATGAAACATATATTAAGGAAACATTAGCAACAGTATTCCACAGATTAAACTTTTTTGTTGCTTTTTGGTTTGGTGCAAATTTTCTATAGAAAAAGGATGAAGTTTCCAAAACACTTCAGAGATTCTTTAGAAAGGCAATAAAATAAGCTAGATGGTGGTAGTTATTTCTAAGGCCACTACCCAGTGCAATCCATATTTGCACACTAAACAGGAAAAATAAAAACTAAGGCAACCCTAAACACTCTGTGTGTGAGTGTGTGTGAGTGTGAGTGTGAGAGTGTGTGTGTGTGTGTGTGTGTGTGAGAGAGAGGGAGAGGGAGAGGGAGAGGGAGAGGGAGAGCGCGGCTGACACAAAGAATAACGGTCAATGGAAGAAAACATGCAAGGAATAAGTAAAAAAAAAAGGAAGAAAACGTACGGGAAGGCTCGTGCCTATTTCTAATTACTGTTAACTAGGTTCTTATGCAAAAGCAGATAGATCTGAAATAAATGAGACCAGCTTGAGATAAATCAGTTTAGAATAAGGGTGCCTGTAACATTGGAGGTTTTTTTTTCTTCTTTCAGTCTTGCTGTGGGTTTTGTTTCCTGCTCTAAAGCAATTAATTTGTGTTAAAGGACTTAGAAATCATGTTCTTTGGCTCACCTAAAGAGTATTATTTATTATTACTATTATGTAATTTAATATAAGCACAATCCAGTCGAAGTGAACCATTTTTTAAGTCCCACGGTGTGGGAAGTCGTAGTTAGGGACATGTTTCAAACCCTCCCAGAGAAAGCAATTAAACTTGGTAACGCTTAACTTCAGCTGGACTGTGTCCTAGATAAGGCGGTGGGGTTCTCACTGTCTCCGCACTCCTAACCAAGGGGTGTGCGTGTGTTTAACCGCCTCCAGAAACGCGGGGGACACGACTAAACCGGAGGAGGCTGCGAGCGGCGCGTCTCCATCCCGCCCTCCGGTGCTCCCTGCACAGAGGAGCAGGTCAAAGACCGCGGTGCCTCCCTAGCGATGCCCGAAGGCATCTCACCTACTGCAGCAGTGCCCCCCCGCCTCCCTCCGGCACTCCCAATTAAAGAAATAAACACTCCGGGCTGCTCTGCGAGCGGGGCGACGGCACGGGGGCCAGCTCGCTCCTGCAGCGCTAGAGAAAAATCGAACCAGCCGCCTCTACTTACTATGCATCGCTGCAAACGGGTCGTGCTTACAATGTATTTCCATCTGGGCTGGCGATCCAAGCAGCTCGAGGCAAGCTGTGGCAGTTTGGTTTCTGTTTGCTCTCGCACCGCGTTAAGCTAAACTCCCTGGGTTCACTTTTGTTTCTGGGGAAAGGGGTGGGGTGGTTTATTTCTGAGTGGACGGGCCAAGTGTTGCTTGCGGTAACTTCGCTTATAGAAAAGGAAAGAAAACCACCACTGCGTGACTTTAAAGGCAAGATCTCACTCCAAGCCAACGACAGGAAAGAGTGGAACCACAAAAATCCTCGGGGAAGTTAATCCTTTCCGATGGAGGGGCCTGGGGAGACGCGGGCACTCGGATGCCGCCGCCGCCGCCGCCGGTTCTCTTGAATCGCTCCCCGCCCGACCCCCCCGCCGCCCTTTCCAAGCTCGACCGTCTCCTGCTGCAAAAGGTTAGCTCCGATGAGTCACTCGCTTTGGCGGCGGCGCCGTTATTTTCCCCACCTCCAGGAGGAAAAGGCCATGAATCCCGTCCAAGGGGGAAAGAAAGAGCCTCCAGACGGGCAGCCGAGCCACCGCTCCGGCGCGCCGGAGGTCGCCCAAAGTGGAGAAAAAGAGACAGGCAGGGACGGATCACCTGCACATATTCCAACGTTATCCACGGCGGCTACTTTTCAGCCTACATCTCCCGTTTCCCTTCCCCGGGGGAAGGCGGCGACAGCGATGCCTCTGGCGCAGGCACGCGCTACCTAGGGCCAAGGGAAGAGCCCTGGGTCAGTCTTTTGTCTGAGCCGCGGTGGGGTGCCGGGTACGAATATGTCCCCCTTCCTCGTCCTTCCTCCTCCTCCTCTTCCTCCACAACCCTGCTCGCAATCCAGTTTGGAAGTATCAGCTAGGCTGCGCCTCCAAGAGAGGCGTAGGAAACGGCCTCCTGCCCGAGGAAGAAACAGCAGGCTGTGGACAGGTGTCTCCCCCTCGCCCGGCGTCCCAAGTCCTGAGGAGAAAGGGCAAGAGACGTCGAGCGGCCGCGGGAAGAAGTCGGTTTCTCCCCGTCGCCTTCGCGGGCTCCAGGGCGGGCGCGGGAGCCTCCGTCGCCGTCAGGGCAGCAGCAGAAGTTGTTGGCGGGAAGTTGCGCTTGGAGAGAAGCCAGAGGAGGTGAGGCGAAGGCGGCGGCAGCACGAGCCTGGCAGCGGCATCCCCGCCGCGCCAGAGAGAGCGAAGGAGGGAGCGAGAGGCGTGTTTTGCTTGCGGCGCGCGCCACGCTTTCCACCTCCCGCGCCCTTCCGCGCGCGCTTAAAGTTTGCCCGCTCCTCCGGCGGCAGGCGCGGCGCTCCCACGGCCAGGCGCGCGCCCTTGCCCGCCGAGGGCTGCAGAGGGGGCTCCGGCTCCGAGCGCGCCGAGGACGGCTGGCGGCCGGGCGTGTGTGTGCGTGTCTGCGCGTGTGTGTGAGTGCGCGCGCACGCGCGCGCTCCTTGCGTGCCTGTCTGTCTGTGTGTGTGTGTGTGCCTGTGTCTCTCCACCTGGCCGGCTCCCGCGTGAGGGAGGGAGCGGGCCGAGTCCCCCACCCCCGCGCGCGCTCACATGAGCGCGCTCACACGCGCGCGCCCCTGGCGCTCAAGCTCCAGGCGCCCGCAGAGTCGCTCTTCAACCCTTGGCAGCGCCGGGAGGCTTCGGATCTCCCGCGGCCTCGGCCGCCGTCACCGTCCGCGGCTCGTCAGCGCGCCGCCTCCATGGCGGAGGAAGGCGCTTCCCAGGGCAGCGTTCAGGACCCTGCTCCGTGTGGACAGCGGCGGCGGCGGCGGGGCTCCAGCCTCTGGGAGCCGGAGAGGGGCGGGGGGGCAGCCTGCCGGCCGCGGCCGCCGGCGTGGCCGTCACTCAGCTCCTCGCTCCAATCAGAAAAGTAAAGTTACGGCCCCGCGCGCATTGGCTGCGGGGCCCGGGGAGATCCGGCGGGGGTGGGGAGGAGGGGGCGGCACCTGATTAGCCGGCGGCGGAGCAATCAGCGCGGGCGGCGGGCGGAGCCCCGCGGGTGGGGAGCGTTCATTGACAAACTGGAGGGCATGGCGGCGGATGTGTACGCGCGCCTAGCCGGCCGCCGTGACCCGTCTTGGTCCCTGAAAGACGGAGGGCTGATGGGGGCGGGGGTGAACAGTGCCCGAGAACGTACTGTGTATCAGTCGATAAAGCCAATCACATCCCGACACTAAGCAAAAGCATGCGCTGCCCCCTAACCATGCACTCCTCGCGCCCGATCCTCGGCATGCTTACTCGGAAGTAAGCCCCACTGAATATAACGGGCTTGTTGCCAAGCTAAGTCTCTAAGCCTGCGCGCGCTCTCTCTCTCTCTCACACACGTGCATGCACAATTCCCCCCGTTTTTTCTACAAAAGTGAGCGTGAACTGTAGGAATCATCACAAGGAAACAGAGTTGAGGGCAGTGTGCTCTGTGTGCTGCATTTCTGAGCTTGGACAGGTTTGAAAGTGGTGAAACCAAAGTCTCCAATAAGAACTTGAAGTGGGAGAGAAAGGGGGGCCCCGCTTCTCATTCGCCCCTGTCCCGATCTTGAGGTTGCATTTCGAACAATGCAGCCCTTTTCTGCTTGGGACGGTCCCCCACGCCCCGCAACTCCAAAGGCTTCCGTTTCCTGATACGTGTGAAAATCTGTGAATAAGTGTCTGTAAGGTCTGATACACATTGGAATGTTCATTACTTGCTGACTGGAACGTCAAGTGGTGACTTCCATGGGGCGAATAGGCTATCGCCGATTCATCACGGCGGAAGCGACTTCCGTTTTTTCCTGTCACCGTAAACGCGATGCTTTTCAATAGTGCTTGGCTACGCACCCAGCTGTCAGTCATCCAGCCTAGGGTAACCATGCGTGACATTGATGAACACTGCATGTGTGAACCAGGCCTTGCGCTCTGCGTCCTATCCTGGCTGCCTGCGCTGGCGCGCGTGCGGAAGAACGCGCTCTGGTGGGTATCACTGTCCGCGTTAGGACGCGTGCCTCTGCCTGAAAGCAAGTCCCACGGTGTGGGACATACTTCCAGGGACAGGATTCGCGCCGTGTGTAACTTGCGTGTGCGGGGAAAGAAAAAGACATGAGTTTGATTGTGTACGTGTGCATAAGAAGGAGACCGGGGAAATGTGTGCGCCTACTTTGTGTGGCTGCGTGTGTTTGCCTGTACAAGCTTTGCGCTGCACGTTTCTTTAGCTAGGAGATGGAGAGAAGGACTCGAGACACGCACCCAAACGCCTCGGTCCGCCCGGCCTGGTTTCCTTCCGGTTCCCCGAGAGAGGGGGCCTTATGCACGTCTTCCCGGACCGCGGAGCACGGCGAGGGCTGTGTGGGGAGGAGCTGGGACACTGGTGCTTGGGTAGGAACTTGCTTCCTTTCGTCGGAGGTTAGGACAGCGCCTTTTCCTCTCAGGGAGGGCTCTGGCTCGGCCGGAGACGCCGCCGCGGGTCATGCACTCCAAGCGCGCCCCGTCCACCTGCCAAATCTGACCTCATCGATTTTGCCATTGAACTCCCATCGGCTGCCGGGGGCAGCTCGTCTCGCCAGCGGCCTCGGGACTGCCCTGGCCACGGAAGCGGGGCGCGTGCGGATGCGAGGGGGACGAGCGACACGCCCAGGGCCCAGGGCAGGGTTCCCGGAGCCTTCGTTTGAAATCGGAGCATTTGAAACCTTAGTATCCTGGTCCAGAACGCCTTCCTCTCCAGTCATGAAACGGAGTTGATTCTCACTTTAAGTTCCACATTTTAGAAGAAAACTAATAAGATGGGTCTTCAAAAAAAGGGGGCGGTTATTTTTTGAATCCTGTGACGATTTTTAAACGTGCTTTCTTAAACCATCAGAAGGCCGCTGCCTTTATAAAGCCGGTCTGAACGAGAAAAACGAGATAAGAATCGGTAAACAGGGGAGCGCTGCCTCGCCTTGACTTTAGGAAGGGCCCAAGATGCACACCCGCCTCCACCGGTTGTCCTTTATGAAGCTCGTTTAGCTTTCTTTTAAAAAGAAACATAAAACGCCACCACTAGATGCATGCATCGACCGTGCATATTTTAAATATTCTTGCATGCATGGAAATGCATATAGGAGTATGCAATGGAGAATAGTACATAATCTTGTGGATAGAGGTAACTAAGGCAGTGATCTTAAGCCAGAGGTAGGTCTTCTTGAAAACCAACGACGTGACTTCAACCTGGACACCCTTAGGAGCCACATACGGATGGAGCCTCAGTGACATTGATGAGATTTCTATCCAAGTGCATGTGCTTCAGAATGAAGGACACACACACAAAGACTTCGCTTTGCCATGCAATGAAACTAAGTGCCTAGATGTGTGTGAATGCAATCTGACAGGCAAATACATTTTACTGTGCTGTGATTAAAACAATTCCTGTGATGGAACCATTGCTTATGTATTATGGTACTATATATGGGGGGGGCAATGATCCTCTCTGTGTGTCATATGATATGCTCCCATCTATTACAGTTGCCATGTATTTGTCATGTACATCTATATGTGAATATGGTAATGAGTCTTGTATAATTACAATGTCTTTTTCCTGTGTTCACATATTTGATTGTATAGGTGCAGAATAACTGAGCTGTATGCATCTGTACCTACTGATGTTACAAGAGTTATACTGCAGATGCTTGGTGCATTTGTATCTAATTGATGCATCATAAATGCATACTTCGTAATGTATAATTAGCAAGGTATTATTGTTAAAGACTATACAATGCAATCCATAACCCATTGGAGTCAAAGGCAAAGCATCCTTTGATTCTAACTAATGTTTTTACAGAGAATGACACTTGGTGTTTTCACCCTCCTTGATGTGAAGTACTTTTTTTAACACACACGCCATCCTCCAAAGATGAACATGTTTTTCCAGAAGCAGTTATGCGGTGATGATTTCAGAAGGACTTGGTGCTCAGCAAAGACTCACTTGCTGAATTTCTAGGCCTGCCTGTCTGAACAAAGAGTTGGTTCCAAGGCATATGTTCACAATTTGTCTCGAAAATCTGCTTC